GGCATCACTGCTGGCAGGGCCAGGACACTGTCCGAAGGCGTTGAGGCGGGGAAGATTGGATCGTGGGACGACTTGTGGAAGTGTCTGTTCCCAGATGACAGGATAGTACCTCGTCCAGGTAAGTCAAGCATGCCCTTCGGTGAGATAACCTCCGCTAACAAGCCTAGCCATCCTCCCCGCCATCGAGCTCCCACAAGTCGAACAAGAAGTCTTTACCAGCACCAACATGTCCACCCTGAAAGCAAGCCTCGAAGAGCGCCTCAAGTTCCTCGCCTCCCAATCTGCAAACAGCGACCTCTTGTCAGCACAGATTCCCGTGATCACCGGCTCCCTCTCCCTCGCCGTCGAAGCCCATCTCCGAAGTGTCTTCATCGCCTGCCGGACTCAGTCCCCGTCACGAACACCAAACCGCTCCCGCTCCGCGTCCCAGACACAGGATGCACCAAATAACCGCCCGCGCAAGCTCTCCTCAGCGTCCTCAGGGGGTGTCAGGAATATTCTCGTGCCACCAGAGCATCATCGCCGCCCGCCCCTTACCGAGACCAGAAGTTTCACCCGCGACCCCGTCCTCCGCCCACATATCCCTACCCAGCGGCGCAGCCTGAGCGAGGGCTCCCCCAAAGCCAAGCTCCCCCCTCGCACCACCAACCTCCCCATTCCCGCCACGCTCACAATCCCCTTCCCGCGGATATCAGCCCTGACCGAGCACTCCGACGCCGGCCCGGAGGAAAATATATCCCCGAAAGGCACCTCCTCGGACGCGGAGTACTCCTCGGGCGTGGAGTCGAACCCAACCAGCGCAGGCGGCCTGCGCGACTCGAACAACACGGACATACGCTGCAGCAAGTGCAACATGCGGCCCTCGCTGCGCCCTAATGAGGACGTTTTCTGCGACCCGCGGCTCAGCGCGGCCCCGTCGACGCATGTGGCGCCGCACACTACCGACTCGAGCTGCCGGTTCTCCGACTCGGGCATCGGCATCCTCTGCCGGAACTGCAGGATGCTCGAGGAGCTTATCAATTCGTACTCAAGGGCGTCGTTGCAATCGGCGGACTCCTCACGGCCGCCAGCACCCGGAACGACGGGGCCGGGGAGCAAAGGCCAGGAGGAAGTGGAGGAGGAGCCCTCAGCGAGGTTAGTAGCGCCATTCTCGTTCTCGCCGGATCTCTCTGTGTCCATCGACGAGAACGACGAGGAGACGCTCTTCGATCTGATGCTGGACTCATCAGCTGCGTACAGCGAGGGAGGAGGTGGAGGGGCGGATGGGCAGCAGCAGCAGCGCAAGACGCAGGCTCTCGTCTCCTCGCCCATGTTCCCTCCCCCGACGCAGGACCTGCCGCCGTCGCCGTACGGGAAGAAGTATGACCGGCACGGCGGGCATGATGGGGGTTTCTTTTGACTATTTCTGGAGTTTTTGGTGTTTTTGTGGATGCCGCGGATGTTTTGGGTCAAATTGGGATGACGAAGCTCTCACGATGTATGAACAATTGGAGTTTCCTGGGGGTTCTTTACATGTAATCCCGTCTTGTATGAGCTTTTTAGCAACAGAATCTCTTCATTTCATCTTCAAAGCCACCACCACCATCTTTTGAAAATGTAAATGTAAAGCAAAACAGTCAAACCATGTAACTTGGTCGACTGGCCCATCGCGTCCGAGCCAAGCTGATCGATCACCCGATGCCACGCCACGTAGAGGAATGCAGGCCAGACCATGTCCATTTTAGCCGCAAGCGTTCGTTCCGTGCTTCCCCCCGCCTTTTGGGGATCTGCATTGCACCCGCCAGCCCCGCACTCCCTCTTGGTGCCCCTGTCGCCCGCTGTAAGTTGATGCAAGGGCTTCATCAACAGCATCAGTCATGTTCAGTCAGTTCACTTGTGAAGACCTGTGAGATGAGATTTGTGAGAGGTATGTGAGTCAGCAGCCATGAAATAATAAATCTACCTTCATCGCCTCCGTTCCAAATACGCAATTCCAGAACACGAGCAGAATCAGCCAACGTGCCCGTCCCAGGGGCTGGTGACGTCGCAGCTGCAAGGGTGCGGTGGATCGCCCCGATGCCCTACCGCGGATGTACGTCATTCTTACAGCGTCCAACTGCAGCTGCTGCAGGTGCTTCCAGCTGTGCTCGGACGAGGGAAGGAAACATGCCACCAGAGGACGGATTAACAGCAGAAGGGGGATAGCTAGCTACCCGAGCTCCGATCAGATCCTCCCTTTCCAATAAATAACACCTCCTCTGTCACGAGCTTCCCCCTCCCTCATCATCGTTCGATCAATCCGACAAACCCCATTGAGCTCCGCGGAAGGCACAATGGCAGAACAAGACCGCTACCAATCCCATCTGGGAGTAAACACAGACAAGATCCCAACACCAAGCATGCCCGCCGCCTCGGGCGCTGAGCAGGACCGCTTCGGCGGCTGGTTCGGTGGCAACAAGGCAGACAAGGCCGCCGACGCCGTCAAGGACCACCTCCCCCGCGGCTCTGGTGCTGAGCAGGACCGCTACGCTGGCTGGTTCGGCGGCGACAAGCTGCCGTCCCTCGAGAAGCTGGGCGAGAAGCTGCCACATGTCTCCGGGGCTGAGCAGGACCGCTACAACTCCCACTTTGGCGGCGACAGGCTCCCCTCCATGGAAAAGCTGGGCGAGAGGCTGCCGCACGTCTCGGGCGCCGAGCAGGATAGGTACAACCGCTGGTTCGGCGGCGACAAGCTTCCTTCCATCGAGAAGCTCGGGGACCGCCTCCCTCACGTCTCTGGGGCCGAGCAGGACCGCTATGAGAGATGGTGGGGTGGCAAGGGCGAGCAGGTCGCGGACAAGGTTGAGCGGAACCTGCCCAAGACCTCCGGCGCTGAGCAAGACCGCTTCGGGGGCTGGTTCGGAGGGGACAAGCTCCCCTCCGCCTCCGAGGTGAAGAACGCCATGCCCCAAGTCTCGGGCGCAGAACAGGACCGCTTCGGAGGCCACTTCGGCGGCAAAGCCCCCTCCGCTGAGGGCATCTCCCGCCGTCTCCCTCGAGTGTCCGGCGCGGAACAAGACCGTTACGGCACGCACTTCAACCTGCACCCGAGCAACCCAGTTAACAGCGCCACCACGACAACCCTCGGCCTCCTCCAGAATGCCCTCCTCCCCTCCTTCGGGCTGCATGCCGGCCTGAGCACCGTCACGTACGCCGTGGCTCGGTACACCGACCGCGCCGACGCCAAGGACTTCCTCTGGCCAACGGGCCAGGTCGCCAACGCATGGTGGACCGCCGTCGGCACCCGCGTCGTCCACGATGGCCTCTCGCTGCCCTCGGCATGGGACTCGCTCGGCTACACGCAGAAGCTGCTCCTCACGGGCGTCAGCGCCTGGGGCGGGCGCCTGCTGTACCGCATCGCGACGCGCAGCGTCAAGCGCGGCCGCGACGATGACCGCTACGTGACCGCCAAGCAGCGGGACCCCAAGTTCTGGGACCGCGCGTTTTTCACCATGTTCTTGCCCGAGGCTGCCTTCCAGGCTTTGATTGCGCTGCCGTTCACGCTGCCCTTCCAGGCACCGCTAGCGAGTGCGCGCGCGTCGCTGATTACTGACTTCCCTGAGACGTTCCACAGCTTGGCTGTGTTCCTGTTTACTACTGGCTTTGCGCTTGAGACGCTTGCGGACACGCAGCTTGAGGCGCACTCGAAGAAGAGCAAGGAGTTGAACCGCGAGGGTGTTTGGAGCATCGTTCGCCACCCCAAGTAAGTGACCCCTCTTCATTTTCCTATCATATAAAACAAAGGTATTGACCTCATATAGCTACCTCGGCGACGCCCTCTGCCACCTCTCCTTCCCCGTCCTGCTCTACAGTGCCGGCATGCTCCATCCGCTGGCCGTGCTCGGCCCGATCTTCAACTACATTATCCTTCGCTACCTCGGCGGCGACAAGGAGAACGAGGCGAGCCAGGAGGAGCGGTACGCCAAGACCAGCCCCGTTAAGCTGCAGCAGCTGCGGGAGTACCGGACCGAGAAGAACAGCTTCTGGCCGGCCGTCAAGGAGGCGAATAACAAGTGGGTGTGGATCGTTGCCGGTGCTGGTGTTGTTGGCGCCGCTGTCGAGAGAGGACTCCTTGCGTACTTCAACTAAGTTTGGGGATGTGGGATGAATTATTGTTTGACTAGTGTAATGGAGTGAAAAGGATGTAAACATAGTAATTCAAATTGAGTCAAATGAAAGTGAAGATGGCATACTTCAATATAGTGAAAATTTAGTTGACCAATATGGTTGATCTACAGAGATGGGAAAATTGAAGATCAATACTGGTCAACATCCAGATTGGCTCGGAGAAAGCAGTCAACAAGGTGTGGCCACACTGCTGTGCCAAAAGTGAGAAGAAGTTTAGGAGAAAAACAGAAGACGCCACAAACCTCCGGTGTGCGGTCAACAACGGGCGTCCGCCTTTGCATGCCCGTAGATACAACACCAAATCCAAGATTACAAGGCAAGTTAAGCTGTGTAATTCAGAGATAATTCCATTAAATGCCACTAAACAAAGTCATCCATCCGCCGGGTCGCAACTGACGAATTGTCGATTGAGTATGGTATGACGTGACGGAAGTCAGCCATCCAGGAACTCAACCGGAAAACACATGTAATCCAGTTGCTTGATGTAATGACGCCCATATTCCAATCCATCGCAATGAACCCAAAGTTCCAACCCAGACTCTCTCCCCTATTAGACCACAATTCCATAACGCTAACAGAAACATTCTCGCCCAGGCACTCGTCCTCCACCCAGCGACTCAGCTGCCAAACAAACAATGAAAGACTGTTGCACGAGTCCTGTACTCAGCTGACAACCAGACCGTTCGATGTTGTTGCAGAGAGGAATATGAAGTGGACCCCCTGTTTCAATCCGTCGCAATGAACCCAAAGTTCCAACCCTCTGTCTTCAGATTCTCTCCCCCATGAAAAGGCGTTGTCCACTCTTGGGAAGACCCCAGGGAGACAACATGGCGAGGAGCAGAAACCCTAGCTCTCTAGAACTGCAGCTTGGGTCCAAGGTTCGGAATGGTTTGAAGATGCTTACCGCACCTTGCTCTTTTTCGATCGTCCTCAGAGAGAGGGGGGCCGTCTTGGGAATCGGGCTTCTTGCCCTTGGGAGGCTTCTTGCCCTTGGGAGGCTTCTTGTCCTTGGGAGGGCCGCCGGCCTCGGCCTCGGCGTTTTGGATCGCAGCATCCCCCTCCTCCCCCTCCTCCTCCTCAACATCTTCCGCGTCCTGCACAGTAGCCGCAGCGGCAGCGGCAGCCTCAGGATCCTTCGCAGCGGCGGCCATCGCCTCCGCGCTGTAGTCGTGCTCGAGCAACTCCTCGAAGTGCTCCGCAAGCGTCATGGCGGCGGCGCTGCCGCCCATCATGCCCTTCATCTTGCTCAAGTCGGGCCCGATGGCCGTGCACTCCCACTTGGTGTACCAGTCCTCGATGGGGAGCTCGGGGTGGCCCCACCAGCCCCAGCCGCCGCGGTCCTCGGGCACCATCGTGCCGTTGATCAGCTCTTTCTCGCCGGTGAGCCCGTTGGGGCAGCGCGCGTGGACGCCGAAAGGTAGCATGCCGCAGCAGGCGCCGTCGCGGCCGCCGTCGCCGACCTGTTGGAGGTGGTTAGAGATGAGAGGGTGGAAGGGGAGGAACCGTGGCAAGGCTTACGCATTTGCCGAAGACGCAGGGGTAGTTGGCGCCCCTCACGCGGCAGGAGTAACCGTTGCATCTCTGTGGGTTGTTAGTGACGTTTCGTTCGCTTCTGCTTATCGGGTTGTAGCGTGTGGCTTTTGATAGGACGTGGCTAAAGGTGGACAGGCAAGGAGGGGGAGGAATGAGTTCACGAGGAAGGGGATAGCTGTGTGCAAATAAAGATGGAGAGACAGTGAGAGACAGAAGAAGCCGGAAGCAGGAAAACGAAATGCGAATGAGCAAGAAAACGTAATCTCAACTTACGCCCCTAGAGCCGATAGACTTGGGACATTCCGTCTTGCGAGCTTCGCGATCCTTCTTCTGGCCCATATCTATTCCGCCTCTGTAATATCCATCCTTGCGGCCCTTGCGGCCCTTGCGATCCTTGCCGCCCTTGCCGAGGGCGTCGACACCGGAGAGGACGACGACGGCCGCGAGTAAGACAGTGGTGACCTTCATGATGAAGGTGTCTGGGTTGATTCAAGGCTGTGTCGGGACCTTTGGGGTTAGTTGAAAGAAAACCAAAAAAGAGCGGAGAGGGGCGAAAGGTTGGGAGTGTTGTGTGCCTTTTTGTACGCCCGGGTATCGTGCCAGGGCATGTGGTGGTGGCTTTCTCATCACCTTGATCGATTGTGGCTGCTGAATCCGTTGGGCATTAGACCTTGCGTTTTTACGCCTTGGAGCAATATTCATACAATATTCATATGATATTCATACAACATTCGTATATTCATACAATACTCATGTTTGGCTTTGGATTTGTGCGTGCGCTTATACGAGAAAATTTGCCACGGGATGTGTATTCGAGACGAAGTGGAAGGCTTGAAGCGAACAAGAGGGCCCCCCAAGGATGTGCGAATAACCTCAAAATATTGATAAAAAACAAATGGATGGCTTGTTGAGAGTAATTTCCGAGCCCACCCAGCAGGGGCTTTCACTGGAGGGCAAAGGGCAGCAAAAGCACATCGGCCAATGCTCAGTTCAGTAGCATGACAAGATGGTTTAAGACTGGACTGAAAACCGTTATGATTCGATTAGCTATGGTAGCATGCCATAGTCTGATTTGAATTTTGTCAAAGTTGAAATCCGCCGCAAGGCTTCACCTATCTTTTCTCCTGATGCAGTTGTCTACGTCAACGACCGCACCGAGAGTCTACCTGAGATGCTGGCCCTCTATCCTGTTAAAACCACATAATGAACGCATTTTACTTGCAGCACTACAGAACAGAGCAAAGTGAAGAAACCGTAACTTACGTGCTGGCAACAAGCTTCGACCTTGCGTATCCCATAAATCTCTCAGCCGCCGCACTTTTTCAAAGGATTGAGGCTTGCCGCAAGTCAAGCGCCACATAAACCAACCTTGAACAGCCTGGACATCTTCCTACAGCTCAATCAGTTCTCTATTGTTTACCCGGGCGCCACTGGGGCGTCACACTGCCATGAGAGGTGGAACCCACGTGGATCAATATCACAGACAGCGACGATCAACAACCTCTTTCGTCCAACTACCGGGGCCATCGCACTGACGGCTGCGAATTATGGGGAGAGATGGAAACTTTTGCGTTGGCCCACCGCAAAATCCGCGTGCTATGTCGCGGCCGCCCACCCCGACAAGTCGGAGTCGCCCTGGGTCGGCCGACGATGTGAAGTCCTTTTGCTGCGTGGTTGCGACTCAGAAAAGTGCATGGCTGTCTTTCGCCTCCATTCGAAGTCGGTATTTGGGTACCGAGATGAGTCCGACGGAGGTCCAGCAGGGTTTGAGGGACGCGAACTGATCGGCAGTCGCAGCCAGGCATCCGTGGTTTGTTGTCCACTGATTCACGTTGGGATTGATGTGAACCCTCGGCGGAGGAGGATGCAATGCCTGCTTAGATAGGTTGATTTACTGTTAGGAATCACGGTTCGAATAGAAGCTCGATTTGAATTAGCACTGCAAACGTTGCGAGAGGGATCACGACGGGCAACTTCTCCGTCACATCGGATGGTAGTGCATGAAGTCCACTCGTCGACACCACCTAAACTTCAAAGAAAACACGAGATCCCGAAATGGAACCAACTACCCACGAATGGCAAGAAGACAAGCCGGATGCGGAAGTGCTACACCAAGACTTCTACGACGAAAGTCCCATTTCGGAGTGTTTTCACGGCCTGCAGTAAGCTTATGGGGACACCGCAACTGGATTCTTCCCTTGGCGGGGCACAGACAGCTGAGCCTTGATGAAGTTGCAATACTAGCAAAAGGACATGGCAGTTGGGTTCCCCGGGGCCTGCCAATGAAGAGTGGTTGTTTCCCGTTTAGCGGTGGATCGTAGGATTGAATGTCGGCAGCCCTACGGCGATCTTCGCTGAATACCGCTAAGCCTGACCGAAATCCTTCCGGACGGGACGAGCCTTCCGACTTGCTGTGGAGGTGACGATGGGATTTCGGACTGAGCTTTTGACGACAGACCCTGTAGTTCTCAACTTGTCAGTCCAATATATTGTCTGACGGAAGGATGGGGCCTGACCTACAACCATAAGGCCGAGACTAGGTGACCCTTTGTGGCCAATCAAGTCTATCCGAGAAGGCAACACCGGCTTCAATATCTGTTAAACGTGGAGTCCATTTTCAGGAAATCGTACCATCAACGCTGACCCGTGCTCGCAAGATCGACAGTCGCAGTCAGCCCTGGGGCACATCAAGCCAGTCTGACAATAGACAGATCCACAATAGAAACAGAAGTCGGGCAATTGTACACGCAGCAGTGCGACTAGAGAGACTGGGGGAAGATAGACTTACACGGCTCGGCCACAATATAATGATGGGTCCGATTCGAACGCCTGCTGGCAACTTGCTTGAAAAGCTATATAAACTACCGAATACTCCATATGCCATCCGGTATTCTCACTCAAACCTCATCATCATAATCACAGCTTCATTCAACCCAAAGCTCCCATCACACACCTACCCACGCAACAGCATCTTCTCAACTCAGTCAAAATGCAGTTCTCTACCATCTTCGCAATCGCTTCGGCCCTCACCCTCGTCGCCGCTGCTCCCACTCCGGCTCCCGAGTCTTCACCTGCCGCGGAAACTCCTGCCCAACTTTTCAAGCGCAAGGAGTGCCCTAGCAACTACGCTTCCAAGGGTGTATGTGCCCCTCAAATCGAGACACTTTCGTGGGAGCGTGAGACTGACAGATGCCCGGATAGGTCTGCAACGGAACCAGCTGCATGTGGGGCTTGGTTAACTACGACTGCGGTGTCGGTTCTTGCGTAAGTCTTCACGGTTTCGCATTTACTGCGGGTAACCTCGACATGGAGATCGATTTGCTAACCTTTGGCTCAATAGGTTGGCGCTGGAGCTGGAGACGGATCTTGCTGCGGCTGGCCCAGTGATGGTGGCGTGGCTTACTGCCCCAACGGAGGATTCTAAGCAGCTGTCACTGAAGATACTGGGGGATATGTCTTGTCGTAAGATATGAGGAAACGAGTATAACCTGCACTATATGAGCGGCGGATCTAGGTGCATCTAGTTACGATCTTTACACGATTTCACGAAATAATCACATTCATTTGGCGCAACTACTCTACTTTTGTACTAAACTTTGTCTTGGTGTCTGGTGGTTCGAGAAAATGTTGAGAGCTTATCATCTCGGTAACGCTTGCCCTCGGAAAAACGTTATTGGAAAAGGAAATGGTATGTGCCCAAAGTTTAGAGGCATTGAGGTGAACAATTGCCAAGGACGATCAGGAATGCCCAAAACACCCATGGCCAGATCAAAGGATTGACTATCAGACGATTTAAGACTTGGCACAAGTGAATCATGGATTGGACTGTGGCGAGGCATAGTGGCTGAATCAAGCATGAAATTGCCCTGTAGTCTGGCTCATGCTGCCCTCCTCGCAGCCGTTGATAACCGCAATTTCACTTCCGTCACCCAGCGCTTATTCATCGCATCATCACCATGCTAATTTGCTTGCGACGTCTTCCCTTTGCCCAAAATAGCAATGAACTTAAGTAACTCCCTGTATCTACAAAATTTCCCGTCCAAAGAACTTTGATAACATCGACTCCCAAGCTGTCCGTTGCTTCAACGCCAAAAAGTTGATAATGTGGCTATCGGTCGCACGAAGGAGTACAAACGGCAGGAGAACTGCCGAAGCAAGGCAAGTAATTGTAGCACATTAATGGAGAACTAGAACGCAATCAAGAACACCCATTGCAACAAAGGTGTTTTCTTTGATAGTTCTCCCGACTAACTGAATTGAAGACGTTATCATTGAGTCTGGCGGCGGTGGAGAAGATTAAGGGTTCGGATGATCTGTAGACTGCAGCACTGAGGGTCAGGCGAAACCCATTGTGGCGTCCTGGAGATGTCCGTCGCCGATAAGGGGCCGGCGGCAGCACGGGTCGGAGCCCGAGTACGATGACTGCCGAGTACGCGCCGTTCGCATCCGGCATTGTCGGTGTGTTTATCGAGGCCGACCTAATTAACTTCGGACCCAGCGATCTCCATTAATAAAAGGCCTCCCGCGGATGTAGTTAATCAAAAGTTGGCTCAACCATCCGTTCCGTTCTTTGAGCCTGTTATGGGAACCACGGTTCTCGGGTAGCTCCGCAAGTAGGGCTGTAGATTTCTCGCTGACCCCTGAAAAACGGCACACGGTGACATCTCAATTGTGTTCCAGATTGAGATCAATAGCCAGTATCATATGAGTTAAGGTGTGTCTGTTCATCCCAAAGTCACCTGCGAAACTGAACTGATTGATGCTTATTTGAGTCAGTTACCAGGGGAAACTTAAACTTTGCCAAGCAGGGACAATTTCCTGCAACATGGAATGTGGGGGTAACGAGAAGAGGCGGAGGAAGTCGGCAATACCGATGACCATGCCCCCATGTTTTAACAGAGTCTATGCTGCTACGCCCTACACTAGAACTGAAGGGTTCATCTTATAAAGGCGCGAATGATTCTCAACTCATGTTCACGACAGCAAGCAATCCCAAGCTCATCCAGTCTTTCGTTCGAAACAGAAGTTCATCTCCAAACTCACAGCACGGTCTTTAGTAAGTGCAACTGTACGCTCCACGTGTTGAGCCAGGGACACCCAGCTAATGGCAACAGCCTTTTTACAACCTCAAAATGAAGGCTTCATTCGTTCTTTCCGCCCTCGCTCTTGCGGTCACCGCTCAAGCCTGCGACCAATACAAGTATTGCGCCTGCACAAATGAAGACGGCACCACGAACGATGTGCTTACCGACTGGGCATGCGACCCAAGCTACACCCGAATCAACGACAAGGGATACACTGAGTGCAAGCTCTACAAGAGCAGTGCCTTCAAAGTCACGGCATTGGACAACTGCAAGTTCAGAGAGGCCTGCGAGGCCAGAGGTGGCAAGGGCGACTCGAAGTGCAGAGCCAAGGTTGGCGTCTTTAAGTTCAAGGCTTGAGTCGAGCTGAGCTGGTTTTCTTTTCCT